GATATTTCGTGAACCAACTTTATCAAAATAATCCCAACATATCAAAGAACAAGGTTGATGCTCGGGTTTAAAACTGATTTTGTATCATGGTTTCATCGACATGTGAGTATCATAAATTTCAAATTTTTTTTGTTATTAAGATGGTATTATGAAATTTTATACCAACATTAAATGATGGATCTGGACTATTATGGTAGGTTGACTAATATCTACAACTTGAGTATCGTGCCTTACCAATCAAGAAAATCATATTGTTCAAATGTGATTGGTACGATACTATACCTAGTATTGGTATAAGAGTTCATAATTAGTACGGACTAGTAGAAGCAAATATTCATAGGATGTCAAATAGATCTAATCCCTTTATCCTATCAACACAAGTGCATCAAGTGTATTATGCAACATATCCTACATCAAAACAAAACAAACATAATTGGTTAAATATATGTAAGGTAAAAGCCCAACCAACAATGGATGTGCTCGAATAGTCTATTATAGTCCAAATAATTATGAAATCATTTTAAAAAAAAATAAAAGGCCAACGTAATATCATTCAAGTTGATGCGAATGAAAGTAATTCATTGATCGATCCAACTGGAGCATTAATAGAGTTACAATGGGTGAAATTAATGAAGAGAATGAAGTTGAACGTGAAATAAATGTTGAAGAAGACTTAAATAAAGATTGTAAAAATGATGACCGGGATAGTGATTACTAATATGATTTGATTGTCCTATAGAGTTTAGTTCAAATTATTAAGGTAACGTGTGTGTGTGTGTGTGTGTGTGTGTGTGTGTACTTGTTTTAATTTAATTATGAAATTATTTTTCATCATAAAATAAATATATTTTAACTTGTTCATATTAATATCAATGTTTTATTTTACTATCAATATTTTAACTAATTAATATGATAATGTGTAGGTTATACCGTTTGGCGTGGGATGTTTCCGCATATAGTGACCCATGTCATATGGTGAGGGTCATGATTCGGATATTGACGATGGAAATGATTGTGGATATAGGCATAGTCTTGCTTTCGTTCTTAGTCGTATGCCCCCTCCCCCGTCAATATGTCCGCATACCATGCTCCTTCTATTGCCATTATGTCAAACTCATCAATGTTTGACATATCTTAGCTCGATTCACATTATTATGGACCTCCACGTCCCTATCCGTCCGACCCTTCATCATCATCAAGGCCCTCGCCCCAATAAGATGATCGTCATGTTCTCGAACATGGCTCATCGTCAAATGTCCCTCCCATGTTTGACTTCGAACACCGTTGACTCTACGTTTGATCCTTGGATTGCAATTACTATTATTGATGGCAAGGAGTACGTATTATGTATATTTTTATAAATTTTTTTATATTATTATAATTATTTGTTCATTTAACTATCAATTAATGTCTTGTTTGATAGCTTGTATCCTTGTGATATTTCCATTCATTGTATCTATAAGACATTCTACGAGTTTATTGACATATCCGGATCGACGTGGAAGTCAATTAGTTTGAAAACTAAAGACTTATTGGAAAGATTTTAAGATAGATTTTAGTTTAATTAATTTATTAAATGACTATATATTTCAATTAAGAAATATTAATGTTCAATTAAATGTACTAATGAATATTCTTAATGTTCTTGTAGAAATTCTTTAAGTGGGAGTGGAATATCGAGCTAAGCATAAAGAAAGTATAATAGAGTCTAGCACACAAGTGATATTATGACTTCTTTTATCAAGTCAAGAAAAGTCTCAAACCAATATATATCTCACAAGACATATGGGATGCATAGCATAAGGAATGAGCAAAACCCGAGTCTTATGCTCGATCTAAGATAGCGGCACGAAACCATAAAAGCAAGACTCGGTAGCATCGGAGTTGGTCCATCTAGACAAACGAGGGATTCGATCACCTATAGGGAGAACGCAATATGCAAGGTAAATATATATATATATATATATATATATAGAGAGAGAGAGAGAGAGAGAGAGAGAGAGAGAGTTCATGACCTAACTCATTACGTTGAAACTAATATACTTAAATGTTTAATTGATGACGATGAAATAATTATAAAATCTTTATATATATATATATATATATATATATATATATATATATATATATATAAAGATTTTATAATTATTTCATCGTCATCAATTAAACATTTAAGTATATTAGTTTCAACGTAATGAGTTAGGTCATGAACTCTATGCTCACGAATCCGATGTTCACGAGATTTTCTTTAGGACTCACGGGAAGAAGGTTGATGATCGGTACGTATTCATCGATCGATGGGTAAGAATTCTCAAAATAAGTAATTAATTTATAAGGTTCTTTTATACGTATGTCACTTTTATATAACTTATTGAGATAGCTATTTAATATTAAAATTTATGCAATTATAACGAAAGAAGGTTGATGATCGGTACAAATTCATCGATCGAGTGGGTAAGAATTCTCAAAGTAAGTAATTAATTTATAAGGTTCTTTTATACGTATGTCACTTTAATATAACTTATTGAGATAGCTATCTAATATTAAAATTTATACAATTACATTGGAGACCATCAAAAAAATATTTGAGGAGGAAGTTACTTGCCGACATATGAAGGGTGCTTCATCGCTAGATATCAACATGAATGAGATTTTTAAGAAGATTATAGGAGGAGATAGTAAGAGAAAGAGGATATACGGACTCGGATCACAAGCCTCTTACTATTACTCTAATGTCGGTACATCCTCTAGTTCGACCACATCGCGGTTCCATGTTGATATTAAGGCAAAATGAAAGGAAATGAGGCTCATCATTCTAGATAAATAGAAAAGATCAAGAAACTAAAGGGTACTATTACATCACTCGTAGCTATTACAAATGAGTTGCAATAGTATACTCGGGAGCGACATACAATGATGTAGTAGATGTTGCTCGAATATAGAGAGAGATAATTCATCCACCGTCCCTCCAATTGACTATCCAATCGATCCCTCCTAGCTTTTACTTTTTCTTTCTTTTTATTTAAAGATTAACAAAATTTAAAATAATTTAATAATTTGATGTTTTAATATATGTTTCATTTTATTGAATTTTATATATTATAATGGCTTTGTAATATTTATAACATTTTTTAGTTGTTAAATTGGAACAGATTAAATTTTTCTTCCAAGCAATGAAATAAAAAATTGCAAACTTAAAAAAAAATCAAACCGATTTAGTGACAATTCTAAAAGATAGTCGCTAAATATGTCACTAATTATGGATAATTTACGATGGTTTTTAAAAATGGATGCTAAATTGTCCAAATTTAGCGATAGATTTATGTCAATTTATAAAAACCATCACTAAATAGAGATGGATTTAGTGATAGTTTTTTTTTAAAAAAAAAAAGTCATTGATTTGTCAAATTTTAGTGTTGTTTTTTTATGCTTTTAGTGATATAGCGACGGTTTTCAAAAACCATCACTAATGAGTTAGCGATAAGGCTTTTTCAAATGGTTTCAAACCATCGTTAATTACTTTTAGTAACGATTTTTTAGGATTTAGAGATGGTTTAAACCATTACTAATTGGCTTTTTTTTTTTTTTTGTCCGGAATTTAGAAGGAGGAATAACCTAACTCTTCTTAAAAGGATGCATAATGGTACCCCTAACTTTAGGGATATCATATTCAACTCTTTGCCTCTTGATCAAACAAGCACCTACCTTTTAAAAGGCCAAGCTCATTTCTCCATCAAAAATCACCCTAAGAGTTGAAGTAGATGAGGATAGAGTTATTTAAACATGCTCTCTAAGGACAACACTTTCCACAAGAAGAACAAAAAGCTTTATTGTAAACAAACCAAGATAAGCCTCTCCATTGGATGTTTGGCCAACTACAAAAAATTGAAAGAAAAAAACATTAATAATCAAGACTCTTATGCAAATCAACGGAGTTCTACAAATGTTCAAAGTTTAGTCATTTACCTTATAGACTATGAGCCAATGACCATCCCCTAGTGAGAAGGTTGACTTGATATTTCTCACCTTTACTCCTTACCATATCCTAAAAATCACGTTCGACATTAGTTTGGGTAAGAATTATATTAGAATCACCTCATGTATTCCTCCACATAAGAGTACATCTATCTTGGCTTAGCTAAAAGAAACCTAATTCTCTTTATTACTCTTCCTAAGTCAATTCCATATGAATTTTTCTCTTTTCCTATTAGTTTCCAAATTCTCCAACCTTTACCTTTGCAAACACACTCTCTATATCTCACAAAAAGCTACTCTTCGCTTTAATTGCCAACTAGATTAGAAGCCCCAATGAACACTTCTATAAAGGACACGACTCCCTAGCTAAAAAGGTGTGCCATAGGCTTTTCTCCTTATTTATACAACATCCTCAACCAAGTGAGAACATCTAAAAAGCTTAAGGGTTGGAGTAACTCCAAACACCTATTTTGCTATCCCGAATGACAAAGATTTTACTCCAAAATTTTGATCATCTCACACCAATCTAAGCCAAATACGCTTACTAAGATTGGGATTGACTACTAATAAGTATAGATGACATGTGTCATTCAAGCATTACGAACAAACCATACTAGAGTATGGGAAACTCAATCAAAGCTAAGAACCAACCAAAGACCGGCTAGCACTTCAACAAGATGCCACTATTCTCTCTACCTGAAGTTTTAGTCCTAGATGAAGAAGTTACACTTCACCAACTATTACAACAAAAAAGACATGCATTTAATGAAAATAGTCTTTTAAAACCGTCCTTGTTCAATAAATACCAACTATGGTGATGTTGGTGCCATAAGAGAACAAGTTGCATCGAAGATATACAGGTTTCCTAACTTAGAGTCGTAAACTATATAGACAACTAAAAAATAGACCATTCTACCTTCTACTATGTACTATTGGTCATTATCTCTTTGACATACACATAAACTCAAAGCATGATCAGATCTCTCATTTCCTGTTTGTTATCTCTTTCACACGCACGCATATACTCAAAGCCTCATCAGATCTCTCCTCTCTCTAATAACGGACTTAACCATTTGAGGGTTCCTCAACCCACTAAGAGCACTTGTCTTGCAGGTAGTTTGAGCAGAAACTATCACCATAAATTGATAATCTCCACCGATAATCACCGGTTATAAAAAACTACTTAACTATTCATTACTATTTAAGTTCCTGGGACTCATGCAGTCATTTGTTTCATCCATCAACAAGTCACCTACCATCTCCAAGCTCATACTCACAGCTCCATGATTTATATCTGCAATCAAGTCTTTCACAACTTTCTCATCGAATCCACTCACAAGTGAACTGAACATCACAACTGGTACTTTTGTCGTTGATCTCAAATACACAGCTTTTGCCATTTTTTCAGAAATAACTGTGCGGTTAATGTAATAGAGCCGTGCTTCTATATTGTGGCAAAAGATGTTGTACTCATTAGGGTTGGTGGCAGTTAATTGGAATTCTATATTGATGGCAGCTGATGATTCATTTGTGGAGGAAACTCGAATGGAGTAATGTAGACTGCGTCAAGTAATTGAAACTTAACAGGGTGATCGAGGGGCCCCTCCTAGTAATATTTCTGAAAAGGTAGAAATAGGCAGAGGCCAAGCCCGGAAGCAAGCACGGCAAAGGTATAAAGCAAGAAGTCAAATATCTTATCGGCTAAGCTATGATTGTTGATGCAATTCCTGTGTTGGTTTAGCAGCCAAGTAACTATTCATGCGCATATGCTGCAAGGGTGATAAGTACTGCAGGAGATCTTTGTGTTATGACTGCTAATTGGTGATTTGTTTAGATCAATCAAGGCTGGCAGCTATTTGTTTCATTATGATGACAAGAAGGATTTGGTTATCGTGTTTAATGTGGTAAATTTAGTTTAAGGGATTAGCTGTCTTGTTTATACTGTGGATTCGGAGGAGGTTAGAGAATCCTTAATGTAAGATAGGATCAACTTTTAGTTTATCCTGAAAAATCTCTACGAATCTTTGAAAGCTTCCATATCCCGTATTTTAGTCATTCATTATTTGAATCGAATTCTTTAGATTGTTGGGATTTGGCTTGGGTGGAGCAATGATGATCTTACAACTGGATTATAATATTAATTTTAAGAGGTTGTTTTGTGGTGAAGCTGGTTTGATTTATTTATTTATTTATTTATTTTAAGGTTCAGCCTTGGATTTAACAAATAGAAAAATTTATTAAATTCTTTTTGAAAGTGTGAGACCAATATGGAGGATTCAATCTTAATATTGCTCAAGAAGAAGAAAAAATATTAATACTATAACATATCTTAGTACAAATATATAAATTCAATCTCTCCGAGTAAGAAAAACAGTATTTAAAAAATTATTGAATTTCTGAAAAAAGTATGTTAATCTCATTTTTCATTATTTTCTTATTATATATACACCATATAACCCCACAAAAGTATGAAATAAGTTTTTAGATCACTCCTAATTTATATAGCATCATATTAATACTTAATTCTGACTATCAAAATTATAAAAATTCTTTAAATCTGTCGGTTAAATTTGAAAATAATAAATTACATTCAAAATTTATCAAAGTATTAAATTATATCTTCAATTATTTATTTACTTATACGTAGCTGTCGGTTATTATCATATGTTACCTTTAACCCTTTTAGATGAAGGGATACATAACATTTTTATTATTCCATTTGACAAATTATGATATATATATATATATATATATATCATAAGCCTTTTCTCTTTGTTTTTTTCAAGGAATTTTAAAAAGATATTTTAATTTTAATTTTTTTATTTTATCATAGTATCAAATTAATTTTATTTTAACTTAGTACACGGCTGGTGTCTTGCAATTAAATAGTAATTAAAGGTATTTTCGTAAAACAAATTATGTAGGACGATGCTTCTAATATTTATTAGCGCTATAATTTTATAGGATATAAGGTCAAATTATTTCTCAATATATTATATTCATATTTTAATATTTGATCATTTTATTTTCAGCATATGATTAAACTCACTTAAAACTTTTAAAGTGAAATTACCAAAAAAAAGAATTTCTTTTTTAACTAATGTTGTAGGTGGGATTTGACTTTCTCTTGTAATAGAATTTTTTGTGAGTTTATATGTAAATATCCGTTAAAAGGATATATTGAAGAAATCAGTTAAAATATAATATTGATATATTGAAAGCAATTAAACTTATAGGGATAGATTGGAGACTAGACCTAAATTATAATGACAGGTTGAGCTACTTATCTTAAAACAACTACCCATATACGGACTATCATAAAAAGGATAAATTACAATAAATTTCTTGAAGCATCATGAAATTAAAAAGACCATTAAAATTTTAAAGATATGATAGAAACTTCATTCATATTTAAGAAAAAATTACAAATAATCCCTTTTGTACCCAAATTTCCCTTAATTATTATTAAAAAAAGATAATTAAATTAGAAAAATAAAAATTAGAGAAATAATATAAAAAATGGACATGAATGTTGTTTTAGTAGATGAAAAATATTAAATTACCATCTGATTTCAGTCAATCTTTGTTTGATTTTCTTTTAATATTCTTCCTATAATTTATTAATTTTTTTTAATTTTACTCTATATTTTAAAATAGTAATTAATTAAGGGCATTTTGGATTAAAAAGCGATTTGTGTCGAATTTTTAAATTTTTGGGTGGCCTCTACAATTTCATGTTACTTCAAAAAGGTTATTGTAATTTATTGTGATAAAAAAATATTAAAAAATTCTTTTTTATTTCTTTTATTTTTGAAAAGGAGGCTTTAAATTCTTTATAATATACAATGAATAGGAGTGTATCTATGATGGCTGAATCCATTAGGGCCGATTGTTTGGTCTTAGTTTTTGTATTATGATTAGACTAAAGTTTTTATAGCTAGTCGGAATAGAATAAGACTTTTTTTTAGTCCTAGCCGACTTGGTACTTAGTATTTAAGTACTTTTATGTACTATGGAGAAACATAACTTTTGATAATTATTAAATAAAATTCTTGAAAAATTTCTCACGATTGGCTCTTGTGTTATCCTTGTGCTTTATTTAAAGTTTCATGTTTCAATATTCTTGAATTGATATATCAAAATGGTGATATTAATTATTATTAGTTAATATTGTAGTGATATTTTAAATCTCGATAAAATCAACTAAAACTAGAATTACTTTTGCTAATTACAATAAAACTAAAAGAAAACAGAAAACTACTGTAACATTTCATTGTTTATTCACTGTTCAGTTTTTTTTTTTTCGGTTGCTGGCTTTCAAGTTTTTACACCTTTTTTTTTTTTCTTGATTTCGGTTGCTGGGTTCCAAGCTTCTAAGAATTGCCTTTTATTTTGGTCCCTTTTTCTATTATTTTTTATTTTAATTATTAAAATTTTATTATTTAATTTGTATCCCTATAATAAATATTAAAATTTTATTATATTTGATTATCATCCCAATAATAAATATTTTTTTCTTGGATTTTAGTAAAATTTTGATTCCTTTTTTATTTCTTTTTTATGATATGTTTTTATTTTGATCATTAAGTTTTATCATGTTTGATTTTTTATCCTTATTATACTAAAACTAAATAAAGTTCACTATCCTAAGCTTCTTTTTTTCTTTTTTTCTTTTTGGCTTTTAGTGATCTTTCTATTATAATTCATGTTTTGTGATTTTTTTTTTATTTCGCCATTAAATTTAGTAGATTTTTTTTTTTTTTTTGGTTTTAGTCCTTGTTTTGTAATTATTTTTTATTTTGATTATTAAATTTTTATTATATTTGATTTTTTATCCCAACAAGAAACTATTTTTTACTTTTAGTAAAACTTTTTGCTATATTTTGATTTTTTTTGTGATCTTTCATTTATTTTGATCATTAAATTTTTATTATATTTGATTATTATTCATTCTACACTAAAATTAAATACAGTTTTACTATTCTAAGTTTTTTTTAGTAAAAAATATTTTTTTTCGATTCTTATTTTATATTTTTTTATTTTGGTTATTAAAATTCTATAATATTTTTTTTCTCGCCTTATGCATAATGATTTTTTTTGGTCTTATTGTTTATAAGTTTTTTTTCTTTTAGTGAAAGTTTTTTATTTATTTTGATCTCTTTTTATCTTTATTTTTTTTTGATCATTTAATTTTTATCGTGTGTAATTTTGTCTTAATTTTCTTTGCCAAATTCTTGATTTGAGAAAGGTTTTTTTGTCTTTTTATGTTGGGTGGTTTTTCTGTCTCATTAACAAATTACAAATGAATAATATATGATAAAAATTAATCATCTAAAATTCAAAAAACTACCACATTATTATTTTAATTATAAGTTATTGTATATATTTTAATTATATCAAACAATATGTAATTAGCAATATTATATTACTCAACTTTGTAGATTTTTCATTTAGCTACCCCTGCTGCAAATTATGAAATACAAGTTTTAGTTTTTTTTTTTTTTGAATTTTTTTCGCATAATATTTTTAAATAATTATTTATAAATTTTATATTTTATAAGAATGAATACATAAGGATGTTGTATAGCTCACCCGCGGCAACGCGCAATATGTATGCTAGTTATTAAACTAAAGTTGTATTGGAGTTTTGATCTCATAAAAAGCAACTAAATCTAGGTTATTTTTATTGAACAAATTTCGAGTTTAAGGATTATTTTATTTATTGAACATAATTTTGCCTTCATAGCGCTTGAAATTTATGACTTGATTGTTTGTCCTTACAAATCCATTGTCATACAATCATATAAAAATATGATCATTTAAATTTCTTATTATACTTGTAAATAAATTATTGCAAATATTTTAGTGAATATTATCCCTAAGAGTTCTTATCCTAAGTATTAACGATTAAATATCCAAAGATAATTTATTGTTATGTCTTAAAAATAAAATAAGGTAATGTAATTATAACTTATCAAACTTTATATAAATTATGTATAATTTAAAAAATAATTTTTTTAATATAATTATTACTCAAACTTAATCATTTATAAATAATTTAAAATAATCAATTAGATTAGGGAAAACTTAAAATTGTTAAACGATACAAGTTCAGGAAAATTAGTCTTCAGTTAAAAAAAAAAAAAAAAAAAAAAAAAAAAAGCAAGACAGTAAAACCCGCAGGCAAATGACTTGTCCTAAAGAAGACTTCTTTGTGTGTTGAAACTTAGCCAATTTTAAGTACTAGGATTTAAACAAAGTTAACTAGAAGGTTCTATTTTATTAAAGCTTTAACAAAGATAAGATTTAAACATTTGACCTCAACTCTACTCTCCTAGATTTTCTAATGTATAGTTATTTTCCCTCACTACTACCTTCACCGGATTTAGATCTGGACGAGGATGAGGAAACTGTGCTCTTTGATGAGAAAGACATCGGAGCTCGCCTATAAGTTTGCCAGTTAAGTTTGTTAGGAAAAGTTTTTACTGATAACCTATCAGCAGTCTGGTCCTGAAGGATGTAATGGAGATGGTATGGCGGCGACAAGCTGGTTTTAAAATACAAGAATATGGTTATGGGTCTTACCAATTATTTTTTGATTAAGAATTCGACCTGTTGAGAATTCTTAAAGGAGGGCCCTGGTCTTTCAAAAATAGCCTTCTCGTTTTACAACGATGGGAAAGAGACGAGATTTTTTGTTCTACATCTTTGGATTCAAATATGGGCTTGCTTGCTTGCTTATTGTAGAACAAAGCAAATGGAAATGAAGTTGGGATCCCGCCTTGGCATGGCACTTGACTCTGGCTTATATGTAATCCGTGGAGCTCTCAGGGTAATGTTGTAAAAATTAAATCACGAAACTCCTGAAAGCATATACGTATAAATCTTTTCATCATTTTTTTATGAATTTAAATATAATTTTTTTATGTGTTTATTTTTTTAAAAAAATAAATTCGTGAAGTAATTATTGTACAAAAGTTACTACAATAGTTACTCCTAGAAAATTATAAAATTTCTTATACATATTCAATACGTACTTCTTTGATTATTATAAAATTTCTCGTATGTACGTAGTTGTTGCCTAAAAAAAATAAAATAACTAGGTACATTTTGGACAAAATTGAATCCCACCATTCCGTATGAAAAAATAATTAAAATAAACACACAATAATGAAGAGTACAAAATAAATCAATCACGAAAACATAACTCAAAAAAAAAAAGTTAGGTTGAAAACATTTCAATTGTATAGAAAAAAGACCACAAAACTAATTCCAAAATAATCTATTATAATAATAATTAAAAAAAAATACTATCAGTCAAATTTCTCTATAAACTTAGGGTGTTGTGTTTTTGTATGTTTGAATTAATTTCTCAAGATAGTGCTATCGATCATTATTAATTAAAATTAAAGTGAGATTCTAAGTTTCGGCTCACCTTAATTTTGGCTATTTGAATTCGACTTCATTGAATTTTGTGGTGTAGAGTTTTGGCTTCATCAAAATAAGGATTGATTATATTCGGACTTAACCCAATCTTTACAAAACTGGTGTCTAACTCAGTATCAAAACTTTGGTTTGATTCCTTCCATGTTTTTGACAAAGTTTTGTGATGATGCCTTAAAAAAAATGTTCATGGCGGATTTACATCATGAGAATGCACAATTGCAACAAAGGAAAGGAGAGATTAAGAGAATGGCCTGAGAGGCTAATAGCCGAGAGTTGGAGGGTGATGATGAAGAGGTCCAAGAGGAGTGGATACCTTCCAACCATTACAAACCAAATCTTCTTCTAAGGAGAAGGATCCTTGTAGCTAGGACAAATGGTGAGGAGACAACTGCAACACTAGTATTTCAGTATCCAGGTGGAGATCCCTGATTTTGAAGGGAAGCTTAATTTAGATGACTTCATTGAGTAGATGCAAACGGTAGAAAGGGTGCTTGATTACTAGGTGTGCTGGATGATAAAAAGATCAAGATTGTGGCCATCAAGTTGAAGAAGAATGCTTCTATGTGGTGGGAGAACTTGAAGAGCCAAAAAAAAAAGGGAAAATCACTACGTAGGATAAGACAAAGAAAGCCTTAAATTGTAACTATGTTTTTAACTGCTATAGACAAAATACATACCTTAAATTCTATACTGTTTGGCAAAGAAGTTTGAGTGTTGAGACTTTGCGGCTGAATTTGAACGACTAATGTTGAAGTGTGAGATTCCTGAGGCTGGGGTTGCTAGGTTTTTAGAGGGATTGAGACCCGAAATTGCTATTGTACCATAATTGCAGCAATATTGGAATATTAGGCTTTGCATGATGTTGTGAAGTCTTCGAAAGAAGGTATTTTCTCAATAATTCTTTTAGTTATGCTACTATTGTAACTAATCCTTTGTTAGGATGGCGTAGCATTTTATACGGAAAGAAAGTTTTGGATGCAGGTCTTGGTTTGCGTGTTGGGATTGGGAGACATATCCATATTTTTCATGATTCCCACTCAAGCTCTAGTAAATCGACTCTCATTAGACCTCTTTTTACTGGTCTAATATATTTTTATCAGCTTATTGACTGGGATACGAGAGCCTGGAACTATGATCTTATCAGGAACCATTTCTCTGGAGAAGATGCTGCGGTAATCTCAGTTTTTCCTACTAGCTTCTCATCTCTGACAAGCTGATTTGGCATCACTCGCGGCAAGGTTTTTACTCAGCCAAATCGGATTCTCAAATAGCTATCTCTGTCCTGGCTCTATTTCGTGCTCAGATATCTTCACTTGCAGATTCTCCTCCCAGCATCTCAATTCAATCATGGTCGCAACTTTGGAAGCATCATGTTCCCAACAAGTTGAATTTTTTCATAAGGAGAGCATTGCAAGATAGTTTGGCCACTGGTATGAATATTCACAAGAAAATTTCAGATCATAATCCTCAATACAAGCTTTTTGGTGATCCATATGAGACAGAGATGCACCTTTTTACTTCATGCAACAGAGCTCGCCAAGCCAGGTTCATATACATGGGCATTCGCACTAATGCTATATTAAGATCCTCCTCCTCTAAGCGGTGGCATAATCTTCTCAAGGAGTTATCTAAGTCGGTTGTTCCGATTGTTTCTCGGGCTAAAGCTCGTTTCCTATGTTTAATGATCAGAACTGGTCTGCTCATGAAGTTGTTAAAAAAAACAGATGAGCAGGAATCCGAGAATCTCTCTCTTCTTGATGTTCAGACTCAGCAACGTGGCATGCAGAATCCTTGTCCTTCACAGCCAGGAGCCATCAAAATTAATTTTGATGGTTCTTTTAATCATACAACAAACTCAGGAGGATTAGGTGTGGTTTTTAGTAATTCTGCGCGAAGCCTTCTCGGTGCCAAATTGAGGAGTATTTTTACCGCATGCTCTTGATCCTTCCTTAAGCTTTAGCTCCATAGTTTTAAACAGCAGTGGCAATTGCAATAACGAATTGTGATGACGGATGCGAATTTTAATAGTTAAAATATACTAACCGCACTGTACAAATTTTTATAATATATTTTTAATTTGATAATTTTATTAAATAAACACATTGTTTAGTTAGTTATATATATAATTGTATTATTAAAAATTACATTTTAATTTAACCTAATTTTCAAATTATTACTAAAAAAATTATAATAAAATTATAATTTAGTTATTGGTTTGCTAGAATGGAGGAAGAATTGACTTATATATTTTCTTTTTCTTAAAGAAAATTAAAGACATTCTTAAATTTTTTAAATTATATAAAAAATTGAAATTAAATTATAAATTAGTTCCTTTCATTAATTATTTTTCTCATTTAAAAAATTAATTATTTATTTATTTATATTTTAATTTTATCAATAACTTAATCTTAATCGTTTTATAAAATTTTCTATTAAAGTGGTAACGATATATTATTATTATATTATTCTTTGTTCTCAAATTGCTCTTTTTTATGTATTTTTTTCACAGATATCTACTTCGTTTCTCTCTTCTCAAGTACTAAAATAAATTTTCAGTTTTCTCTTCATATCACTTCTCATTTTATTAATCTTTAGTCTCTTTCTCTCTCTTTCTCTCTCTTCAAGCATCGAAACATACCCTCATTCATGGATATATATTTGAAGGGTATATATGTTAAAAGCTATTTTAGATATTAATAGTTAATTTGCTAAATTTAATGGTAGATAACTAAATGATTTTTTTTTTTTGGATAAAAGAGACTAGTTAATTTATTTTTCGAAACAAGTATGACTAATTTATAATTTATTGTAAATTATGACAATGAATTATTTTTAAAAAAAAAATTAATGTTTCACCGCTCTAATTTATATTTATACAAGAGTAATGGACAAAGGGAGAGAGTGAATGAAATGATTAATTGTGTAAGTGGTGTGTTTTAGCCACCAATTGTATTCAAAATCATACTTCATTTGAACTTTGAAAGTCATACACATTACGTAAGTAAATGGTTTCAATGGAACAATGAGAGATTAATATGATTTTTTGAATTTCTAAAAATCCAAAAATAAAATAAAAAAAAATCTAATGGCTAAAATGTATATTCTAATTGTGTCTTGACGAGCTCCAATGACATCAACAGCTGTGAAGCAACCACATTCATTGCTTACTTAAGTTTTAAAGCAAATATATATATCTACCATTTTGCACTTCTCTTACCTTAGAATCTTAGTGCTAATATTAACATGTGTTGTTAAAAAGAGAATAATAAAGAGTAAACAGGTCAAAACTTTTCTAAATTTTATATAATTTAAAAATTAATTTTTTTAATTCCAAATTGAACTTTTCTTCAATCACTCTTCATTTAAAATTAAATTATTTTATTAAATTTTCATCCAATATATAAGTACAGTTCTTCGATCACTCTTTATTATTCTCTTCATATATATATATATATATATATATGCTTTAAAATTTGTTATGTTCATTTCAAACACTAAAAATCTAGCAATTAAAAAATATTTAAAAAAATTCATAAATTTTGATATATTTTTAGCTATTGAAGGAGTTAAAAACTCAAAAACATATAAGTAACGTGTACTTATATTATTACTTATATTAATAGAAATATTAATGACCACTTAAAATAAAAATCAAATTTCAAATGAAAAATAACGAGAAGTATATCTAATCCAAAATTAGAAGTTGAAAATTTAATTTTTAAATTACTTAAAGTCATCCATGGTTGACCACAAATAATTCCCCAAACACTTGCGTGACCACAAATTAGGTAGTATTAATATATATATATATATAAGTTAATTCTCATTGGGACAAAAATGCCTGATTTTTTTTCCCCCCAAATGAGGGCTAGTTTCCACCTAATTGAATGCCAATTTAAGTCTGCGAGTCATTGAAATGATAAAATAGCTTGATTATGGGGCTTGTTGGACAACATGTAAATACAGAGGAAACTTAAAAAAGGTAATTTAAAAAAAAAAAAAAAAAAGATTGATTCATTAATTCAAAAAAGAAAAGAAAACAATAGCCTACAAAATTTTGAGCAGAGAACGGGAATGGCAATGTGGAGAAACGAAGGCATGAGCAAGTGCAATTTGGTAATAATGGCAAGTTAAACAAACTGTTTAGGGCCCTCGATGCATACCTGTTACTGGACACAGACACCTTGCTTTGTCTTGAGATATTTTGTGAAAGCAAGCAAGCTTACAAGATACGGCCTCATATAATAATATTCTACCAAACCAGAGTTAAAAGAGGATGAATCTCTGATTAGTGATTTTGCATGATTCTCAGCCATGGATGATAGATATAGAAACAAGACCAATGGTTAAGATTCAAAAAATAGATACACGAGAGGAGTAGCAAATAATAAAAGAATAGAAGTGGGGCTCGTCTGGCATGCTGTCTGGGGCAGCTGTCTCCAACTTCTTTGACCCGAACTAGGTGGTAACCCCACATTCTCTCTCTAAAAATTATTTATCCACTTTCTCTCATCTTACTCTGTACAGTTGTATTTTGAAAAAGGTCCCCCTCTCCCCCACCCTACAAGAATAATCTCTGATTGAATTTGAAACAGCTTTACCTTTTTTTTTTTTTTTTTTCTGGCTTGTCATGTGCGTTTCAAGTAATTTAAAATGGGAAGGCTAGAGAATTTAATTTTTTTATTATTATTATGAAAAAGAGAAATCAGTTGAATATTTAACAATTTTTTAACTGAAAATAAAATTAAGATTTGATTGAATATTCACTGATACACTAGAGATTTAATCGAGAAGAAAAATAGGATAACGATCTAATCAAGATTGTCTCTAAAGATGGGGACGGCTCGCATATTTTCTATCGGCAAGGCAGAAGAAGAAGTTATAGAGGTGTGTGGGTGACAGACTCGTACACATGCATGTGTCGCAGCTTTACCTCCTTCCAGTTCATCCCACTTTCTGTTGGCCCCATTGCCAGCTCGTTTTCACTTACCCCCAACCCTTTTTTTTTTTTCCTGCTCACTTGCCTTAAAAAATTGCTCTCCTTTTTTCTTCTCTGCCTAAAAGATTAGCAGAAATAAAAATAGTTTGTTTTAAAAGGAGAAGAAATAAATTGAGGTTGAGTTTTTTTTTTTCCCCTTCGTCAGTTTAATTAATACAACACACTTGATGGGGTATTAATAAATTTACAATTCCAATCATAAAAAGTGGCTCATTGTTGAGAGTTTTGGATTTTTAACAAAATATTTAAAGTTTAAATCTATTTTGGGATTTCAAGAGTGTAGGATGCTTGAAACCTTCAATCTAAAAATCAATTTGTATTTATTGAGGACGATGGAAGGATGGCTAGTACTTAGATTACCCAAAAAAAATAAAAAAAAATCACGAGTCAGCACCATATATAGTTGCATCAAATTTTCACAATCATTAAATTATGATTGTTGAGATAAATTTATCTTGCACTTGTTTAGAACAATGAGTTCAGAAATCTGTGTATCATTTCGTAACATTTTGTGCAATTATGTCTCAAAATTAATAATTCATACTAATTTGTCATCGTTAAATTCCATGCGAACAAGATTTGTTTTCGTTGGGTACGAGGAGGCCTCTTAGCTAGGCATAGCAATAGTCTCATCCCGCCTAAAATTGGCTCAAGAACTCTATTTTTCAGTCCGTCTCTTGAGGAACACTAGCAGACTATGTTATCTCCGGCTCATAAAATGTAAAAAATTAAATTACAAAAATCACTTGAACGTTCCAATCAGTTAACAATAGATAAGTGTGGAAGAGAAATCGGAACATATCATCTTAATATTGTCTCAATAACATGATAGGAATGAATATACCGTCTATTCTATTATTATATTAAATAATAATATAAATCATATATGAGACATTATTTAACAATTTAAATTTTTGGATTGAGATGGTTTTTTAACATGATATCAAAATCGTACTGATTTAACGGTTAAGAGTAGAGTTCAAATCCTATCATCTCTATTTCCTCTTCTAATTAATTGAGAGTAAGGTAGTGTGAGCCTATGTAACTTTTAAGCTCTTTCGAGCTTAAAACTTACATAGGCTCACACTACCTTACTCTCAATTAATTAGAAAAGAGTTCAAATCCTATCACTTCTATTTTCTCTTCTAATTAATTAAACACAAAGTAATGTGGGTCCGTACAAGTTTCAAATCCATAAGGCTTTCACTTGAAGGGGTGTGTTAGAAAAGAGTTCAAATCCTACCACCTCTACTTTCTCTTCTAATTATTTAAACACAAAGTAATGTGAAACTATGTAAATTTACTTGAGATGGTGTACTAAAAAATAATATAAATCATATTCGGAGCCTTACCTAATAGCTTAAATTTTTTGATTGAAATAGTCTTTTGACATAGTATCGTAGTCTTGTTAACCTAACGGTTAAGAATTCAAATTCTACCACATCTCGCTTTATCTTCTAATTAATTAAGCGTAAGGTAATGCGCGTCTATACAAGTTTCTAACCCAAAAGGCTTTTACTTGAAACGATGTGTTGAAAAATAATATAAATTATATTCTAAGACATCACCTAATAGCTTAAACTTTTGGGTTGAGATGATCCTTTGACATATTAAACGATGAATTCATTATAATCATACAAAGTTAAAGATGATTAAATGAATGCACATATTAGGTTGTTTTCTTGAAAAAATAAGTATGGTTTCTAGATTTTATTTAATATAAATCAAATAATATTACACCTTATCTTAATGATGTACAACAATCTAGCCTTTTTTAGTATAGCTTTATAAGTTTTAGTGCTTACAAACCCAACATAATATAAAACTATTTATATAGTATCGTCCAATAATTTAATTTTTTTGGTTAAAATATATTTTTGATAAATATATAGTGTTATGTCAAGATGACGAAATGGTCATGGGTTAGAATCTTACTATCTTCACTTTTTATTCTTCTTTTTTTTTCTTTTACTCGTTAAATAACCATCTTACTAAAAGTTTAAATTATTATATGAGACTTTAGAAATAATTTTACATTACTTTCTAACACATATTTTCAAGTAAGAACTCTTTAGATTTGAAACTTGTATAAATCTACCACTTTTTTATGCTTCCCTTCAATATATATATATGTATATTCTGAAACTTGCACAAGCTTATCACTTTCTTATGCTTCTCTCTTCTCTTTTACCTCAAGCGAAAGTCTTATGAGTTTGAAACTTACATTAATTTACTATTATGTTGTGCTTAATTATTTAGAAGAAGAAAAATCGAGATAATGAGATTAGAACTCGTGATTGCTACAATCACAAAGTTTTGATACTATATTAAAAAATCATCTCAATCCAAAAATTTAAATTTCAAAATGAGATCTCAAAAAAAGTTTTTAAACTATTGAGTGGGATCTCAAAATTAATTTTATATTACTCTTTAAGAATTTTCTTTAAAATAGACTACCATAACGGCCAAATATCAAGTCCTTTTTCTTTTTATAGTTAGGCTAAACTATGTTTATAAACACGATTAATTATCATTATATTTGATTAACTTGGCATACAATTAAATTGCTAGCTGTTGGTATCTTATTTTCAAACGTTTCCGGAGGTTGTTGCCGCCAAATGTAGTAAAAAAAAAAAAATCACAACTCATAATTGTTTTTCTCAATGATATCTAATGTTTTGGACCTCCATTGTTTTCTATTTGTTAATAAAATATACCACCAACAGACCATGTAATCTGATGACAGAAATGTTATGCGATATACCAGCTCACCTCTCAAAACCTTTTCTTGCACCTGATGCATGTTCCGTGGACTTCCTCTGACATGCCAGTGCTCCTTCCAAAAACGGGGCTATCTTTTTTTTAAGGATCCTAAACGAGCCTTTTAAAGCTTAGTAGACTGCCAATGAAACCCATAGCGTGACTCAACCATTTAACTCGTCCAGGACCTGAGATACCACGAGACCAATCCCTTAGAGCATAGCATATCACTCTGTCCACCAAACTTTGGGATAGACTCTTCCAAATAATACTCTTGAGATTCAAACATTAGTGGCTCCTTTTATGGAGATAAACTTGGCGTCATAAGCGTCCATGGGCCACTGGATTCAATCCAACCATTTTGGAGTCCACGTTGGTTGGCATTGGACACAACAAATCCTCAACAGCTTCATTAATGCTGGCAAGAGTCCAACCATCATTCCCAACCCAATGTAACGGCACGAATAAAAAAAGCTTGGACTCCTGCCGTCGAAACGGAAAAAAGAAAGGGGCAAGACAAGCAAAAGATTCTAGCATTCTAGTAAAATTGTTCTAGAGATGCTTGAATCGCCATTATCTGCCCATTTATCAACAAAAGACGTCAACCATGGAAAGATAGCTTCAAAAAGTAGTTAATTACTAAAACACTAAAACAGGTACGGTTTTAAATCATGAAAATCACTATTCACCTCCTTGCAATGCACTGTTTACTTATTGTAGCCTAAGTTTTTTTTTTCATATAATTTTCAAGTTGCATCATTTTAATCCCTAAAATTTTAAAATAAAGATTTTAATCTTAAAATAAAAATTTTAATCTCCTAGTTGATGCACATGCCTTTTCCTTTTTTTCTTTTGGTTTTTTCCATCAATTTATGTTCTTTTTTTTAATTTAATAAGGTGTTAAAATTATAAAAAACAATCGTTACTTTTTTCCACACAAACTAACGATCATATAATATATTTTTTATATATTTTAGAATAAATATATACTACTTTCATTGTTTAAAATTGATCTTTTCTGTTTATTATAAAATTCTCATCAAGTTAATTTTATTCTTATTTTTTATATAATTTTATTTATTAATAAATATAATTTATTTTCTCTATATATGAATTCGAATAAGTTTTTTTATACGAGTTTTTATTTACTTAATATTCTTATATAACCAAATCTTAAAAATAGAATATATATTTTTTATTTTCTTATTCTTTATATAATCAAATTTTATCGAAATCAATTTTATAGTTTTTATTGCACTCTATTAACTTCAATATACATTTTACAATTTAATTTTTTTAAGTATTGTAATTTATACTATACATTCTCATCCATTGAGTACGATTATGATGTATAAAAAATAATAATAATTGAGTCATTGATTTTATTAGAAATCAACTATGCATCTACACACATAATACCAACTATTTGTTATTAATTTTTTAATATTTTAAAATTATTTTTTTCAAATAAAATAATTAAAATAATATTTTAGAATAATTACCTAATAATTCAAATACAATTTTGTATACTAATATTATTTATTATTTTATAAATAAATATATATAAATCAAATGTACATATTTAAAAAATTAATCTTCTCATCAATAAAAAAATCTTCATTTGTTAATTTTCATACAAGTTTTTATATTAATTGTTGCTTAATTTCTTCGATGAAATGTTATGAAAAAAATATTAAGATGTTTTTTTAAAAAATTTATATGAAAATTTGCCTAATAATTCAAATATAATTTTGTATACTAATATTATTTATTATTTTGTAAATAAATATATATAAATCAAATGTACATATTTTTTAAAAAATAATCTTCTCATCGAGTAAAAAGCTTCATTTGTTAATTTTTATAGAAGTTTTTATATTAATTGTTGTTTTATTTCTTCGATGCAATAGTATCAAAAAAATATTAAGATGTTTTTTTCTAATTTTATATTAATTTTTTTTATTATGGGTTTATTTAAGAATAAATGCATAAGAAAGAATAAATCATATTTTTTTGACTTCAAAATTTATTCAAAACATACATACATATATATATAATTTTAAATAAAAATCAAATGAAATTTTATCTTTTATATTTAATTTAATATATTTTAATTAACCGACAACATAATATATATTATCAAACTGAATTAAATATATTTAGTTCGATCTACAAAATTCGAACTCGTTCATATTTCCAAAATTCCTATTCACTTACCATTCATATGAATAAAATTACTATTCACTTGATGGTAATTTATGTCATTTTTATGTGTTTTTTTATATCTTTTTGGGCATTAATATGCAAATTTAACATTTTTTTTTCTATTTTCGTCTCTCATGTTGTAACATTATTTTTCAATCCTTAGCTTTCATTTTTTTTTTCATTTTCACACAACATGTATACACACACACACACACACACACACACACACATACACACTATCTTTTTATATTTTAAAATTAACTTATACTTCAGCTTATATTACTCTTATTAGTTAAATTTCATTATTTGAATTTATTTTCTTTTTTTTTTTAAATTCTCATCCAATTAATACTTTTTATATAAAATTTTATTTACCGATAAATATAATTTCTTTTCTCTATGCTTGAATTTTAGAATAAAATTTTAAAACATGATTTTTTCAAAAAAAATAAATCAGTATAATACATATCATGAATTCTTAGATTTTTTAAATGATATTTGCACATATATATATATTATAAAAGATTAAAAGTGTATTTCAAATAATTTGTTTCAGTTCATTAAGTATGGTAAAGAAGTATAAAAAATTATTGAATTATTTTTTCTTAAAAATTAATTATATATCTTCCAAAATAATATAAATTCTTTACTATGAATATTTTTTAAAAACACTATAGAACCAATTTATTTGAAATAAAATAATTAAAATAATCTTTCAAAAGGAACCAACCAATTATTCAAATATAGTTTTTTATGCTAATTTTATTAATCATTTTATAAATAAATATATACAGATCAAACACATATACTTTAAAAAAAATCTTTTGACCAACATTAAATAAGAATAAAATTTTATTTTTTTATTAGTTAATTTTTATATAAGTCTATACATTAATTGCAATATTATTTTTTAGATACATTCTCATAAAAAAATATATTTTTTTAAAATATTTATTTTTGAATTCTTAATTAATATTTTCAATTTAAATTATCACAAGTTTTTATTTAGGAATACTTAAACAAAGAAGAATAAATCATTTTTTTAAGTAGAAATTTTATGAAAAAACACAAAAAAAAAAAAGTAATGATTAAATAAAAAAATTATAAAATTTTGAAATAATTTTGTTTTTTCTACCTTATACGAATAATTTTAAAAATCAATCTTCTCTTTAGCATTAAATAATTTTTTTTTTCATTTGATAGTTTTTATAAAAGTCTATCTATTAATTATAACTTTATTTTTTGAAACACAATATTATGAAAAATATATTTTAAAAGTTTTTTTTAATTCTTGATTAATATTTTAGTTAAAATTGTTATAATTTTTTATTTTGAAATCAATCCATAAAGAAGAATAATTTTTGTTTTTTTTTTAAAGAAAAAAATTATGAAAACATTAAAAAAAATTAATTAAATAAAAATTTTAAAATTTTAAAATAATGTTGTTCTATCGGCTGGCAAGAGGCTAGCCTAATCTAGAGCCTTTAAACACTGGAACTGGTGCTCTAAAGTTTAAAGAAACGCACAAAATTAGCAACCATGTGCTACTACTTTCCCCAAAATACATGCCCAACAACAATGGGATGAGATTTGCCTTTCTTTTTCTTCTAGAAAATCCCGAGCATCCCATATCCCCTCAAAAGAAACGGAGACGAGTTTAACTTGTACAACACAAATCGTTCTACTAGCACATGTCTTCATGGTAAAGATGAAGTCCAAGACCAAAGCGTGCACATGCTCTCCGAAATGCCATTGCTTCCGCCTTTTGTACAGGATCCCCATAACCTACGTCATCCACAGCAGCAGTCCCAGTGGACTCCCTGTATAGCTGGTCGAATTAAAAGGGAGAGAATTAACAGGTGATCAATGTTAGCAATTCTCTTCAATTCAAGCAACTGGATTTTATGACCATAAAACTATTAGTAAAGTGGATCAAATAGCATTTGGACAGCGATAAATTTAAGTTATTATTTTTATAAATCTTCGACAGAAATACAGAAATTGGACAAACGCAGGTTAAGGCTGATAAGAATCATATAAACAATATCCACTTGAGTAGACATCTAAACATACAGTGACTGCAGTACTTTCATTCTACTACCTATTAGGAGGAGGGAGGGAGCAAGAGACAGAGATACATAATATACACATTTAATTCAAAATCTAACTATGACATATACATATTTCACAATTTATTACATTCCCCATCATGTAAAATTGGCTTATCTCCAACTGAAGCATAAAAATAATCAACCTTCCAATCAGTGATTGTCTTCCTAAGCCTCACTGCACAAAATAATTAACAACTGCCTAATAAAGCATCTCCTATAGCAGAAAACCATTGTGCTCCATAATTCAGCAAATAACAGGAATCTAAAAATTAGAAATTTATTCCCAAAAATCAAGCAAAACAAACCTCAGGTGTCTCATTTCATAGCAAATCAGATATAGATCTTGAACTCATCTTCTATACTCAAGTCCACATGCATGGTTCTAAGTTTACTTTTGCTTTTCCAATTTTTCATGAAAACTAACAAATACAACATTCTATAGTACTAATTGTGGCCACTCTTTTATTTTTATTTTTTCCTATTTTGATTTTGAAATATTTTTTTTCTTTGTTTTGTAAAATATGTTATCATTACAAATAAATTGTTTCAGCAAACAAAAGGCACAATACCTTAACCAGAAAGGCAAATCTCAGCCATAAAGGAGTTTTCTAATGTTGTTTCTTATTTTGGACTCTTTCACCACACCAATAGGTCCTATGAATAAGCCAATTGAAAAATAAATGGATGATCAAAAAGAGAAACCTTCCATTTCTGAGCTGACCAATCAGCTGTGCTATTGATTCTTTCATCAGTTCTTAACACAACATGACTTCATTTTTAAATGACACATTTTCTCCTAACTAAATCCAAAAAGGTTCCTCTTGAGAAGCAAAAATTGTGAAGTAAGAAGACTGCCTCAATTAAAAACAAATTAGCAACCAGTCTGCTCAGGAATGCATCTCTCCTTGCTCTCAATTTAGAAGGGCTCTGTGCCTTTCACAACTACAACCTCTGGTTTAAGCAAAAGAGACTACAACAAGCCGAAAGATTATGTGCATTTATTAAGCAATCTTTCCCCCGAATCATTAATTTCAATATATCATGTCATGATTCCCACTTATGATCTAGAAAAGAGTCACAGGACAAGTTGAAGGCATCATAACTGAAGAAATTGGACAATCTATATTGGCCAAAAACAAATGGCTAAAAAGCTCAAATGCATAATCAACTATAAACCACACAAAGGGTAATATCGCATACATCCGTGAAAAGAATCATAAAGCAAAGAAATATACCTCAGCATCAGTCCCGTAGATTGTCACACGATAAACAACAGATACGGACTTGCCATCAGCTGAATAAGTGATGTTTCGAACCTCACCTGACCATTCTGCATTAGAGGAAGGAAGCAAATGTTATGATTGAAAATCAAGTTCAAATATAATCATTAGTAAATTGTACAAATTTGTATGCTGTGTATATTAATTTTTAGCATACCTGGAGCATGCAAATTCATAATCCTGTTAACAATATGCCTGAAAAAAGAATAGAAATTGACAATAAATAACAATAAAATAAGCCAATAGCCTTCTAAATCACTATAAATAAAGACAAATTCTAACAAACAAAAATCACATTGAGACTGTAAGACTAAAACAAAATAGCTCTTTTTTTTTCCCTCTCAAATGACTTGATGAGAGTGAATTTATTTATCAAGAGACAAGTCATAGAAACTACATTCAGACTTTTTAGCAAACACCCAATACCCAAAAACTTATTTATTTATCCTTTTCACATAACAACCCCATTTTTTAAACAAAAAATGAAAATTATAATCAATTAAGTATAGGTACATGTAAAGGTAAAGAGAGGAAGTTCTTACCAAGGTACATATTTGATAGAAAACCCATCCTCAGTACGCTGACTAACAAGAGTCTCAGGGACCTTTTTGTTGAGTTCTTTGAGTACTTCAGAGAGTGGTCTACTGATTCCTGAAGTGGGTACAACATCGTTTTCACTGTTGTCATCGATCTCCCCTAGCTTCTCTGTTGCTCTTTTTTGTTTCCGGCTCCAAAAGCAGAAGACTTTGTAGAGTAGTTGAGAGAAGACAAGAAAAGGAGTGATTGTTTCAGAGGAGAGTGGAAGAGTGTGTTTTGTGTGAGGAATTTCATTTTCATTGTAGACAATGCTGCCATTTTTTTCGAAACTGAGAGAGACAGGGGGAGAAGATTGTTAAAATTGTAAATAATAAATAAAACCCTCTGTTTCCCCTTTTTTATAGGGCTTTTGTTGGTTTTGGGACAGTGCTGTGCTTTTTCTCAGGGTTGTATCATGATGTAATGTATCGGCTTATTTTTCTTATTTATTTGATAGACACAAAACTGACATTTATTTAACTAAGGCATAACTTCTTGAAATACTCTTATCACTTTATCAACAATCATGACTGCACATACTCGCCTAAACCAACCTCACTCCATCATTACTACTACCCTGCATCTTGCTAACTAGCTAGCTAGCTCTTTACACAAAGCAAACGTTTTATTCCTTGAAGTCCCAGTTTTTCGTGCATCATAAATGGCATGATCAATACTTGAGAATGACACTCTTTGTTACCATTATCGTTTTTCTACCATGTTCCGACCTTCTATCAGTCAGAGGCGGCAATAGCTAGAGGAAGTTAAAATTTAATAATCGATAATCACAAAAATAAATTTATTAACGTAATAAAAGAAGTTTTAATTAAAATTAATTATTTAATAATTTTAATTAATTAAATTCAATTAATAGATATTTATATTTTATTAATTATAGAAGTTGATTGTTTTAGTAGATAATGATATTACATTAAAAAAAATAAATTGAAAAAATTATATACAAATAACAATTTTATATACTATAAAAAATCAAAAAGATTAATATGTAAAAAAATTAAATAGAAAGAATCTCTATTAGAAAATGAAAGAAAAACATTTTTAAAATTTTTAAAAAAAATAACAGCATAAAAATAGTAGAAAAAAAATAACTATCAATTAGCTTAGCCGTTGCAATTAATATATTTGAAAAAGATCACTCAAAAACTAATATTTTGATATTCAAATTACATAAATTATTAAATTATAATAGAACGAGAGCAATTTTTATCATTAAATCCTTATTGTGACTATGTTCTTGTTTTGGTTGTGTTTTTTTCTATATTAAGCTTTGATATTTGTACAGATCCTTCACCTTGCTTTCTATTGATGAAAAAAAAATTAATAATAATTTTCCGAGCCTAATCTAGACGAATATTGGCAGCAGGGAGTGCACTCCACTCCACCATACCGGAGTGGTGAGTAGTCCAACACTATAAGTGGACTCTAGTGCCCCCACAACTCTTTTCCTTGGTTTTCTGCGAAGCATCAAAGTAGTTGTAATTTTATTTTATTATCAATAAAATAAAACTAAAAGAAAACGTAAAACTATTGTAGCAGTTACTGTAGATAAACTGTAGCAATTTTTTTTTTTTTTCTATTTTGCTCACTTGCTGTAGCCACTAACAAATGCCCTCTTTTGTTTTTGGTTTTTTTTTTCTTCCGTTTGTTATAGCTAAGGTCATGGTGTTAGCTTTTAGTAAGCTTTATTTTTATTTTAATTCATATTAGTTTTTTTTTTTGCTCACGTTACGTTGCGAGTTGGATAAAATATATAAAATCGTTTAGAGAAGTCATTTCGATTTGATAATCTGTTTTATAGTATGAATCTATAAAAATATATAAAATTAAAAATAAAAAAATTATTTATAATTTTTTAATCAAAAAATTTGTATTTAGCTATTTTTTATTTGTATTTTTCAAAATTTTTTCTTTAGAAAAAGGATTTATCCTTATTAATCCATGGATTATTAACTAAAAAGAAAATTAAATAGATGTCTTTAAAAAAACTTTAATATTTCATAAGATTATGTCGAAAAACATAAATAACAATTATTAAAAGCTTACATAGAATTGAATGAATTTTTTTATTTAATGTTGATGAGAATATTGGTTTTTGAAAAAATGTGAAGTTAATTTTTATATATTTATTTACAAAAGAATGAATAATATTAAAATAAAAAACTATATTAATTTGACTTTCAACTAATGATTAATTAATTAATTTGAGTTTTTTTCTATAAAAAAATCGACAAAAAATTATTTGAAATAGACTTTTAATCTAAATATATATTTTAGATAAATTATATATATTAATCATGCCACTATAATTTAAAAGTAATCTAAATCTGTTTTTCAAAAGAAAAAATAATCATGTTCTAAAATTTATTCCAAAATCCATACATAAAGAAAATTAAATCAAAATTGTTAGTAAATATAGTTTTAAATTAATTGGATGAGAATTTTAAAATATGACAAATTAAAGTAGTAAATTTTAAATAATAAAAATAATTAACAAAAAAAGCTAAAACAAAATGGGACTAAATCATAATATAATCAAAGTTTGAAATTAAAAAAAAAATAGAGAATTTTAAAAAAAAATGACAAATTAATGTAGTAAATTTTAAATAACATAAAAAAATCGAGAAAAAATTATTTAAAAAACACTTTTAATCTAAAAATATATTTCAAACAAATTATATATATTAATCATGCCACTATAATTTAAAAATTATCTAAATCTATTTTTTTAAAAAAAATAATCATCATGTTCTAAAAATTTATTCTAAAATCCATATATATAGAAACATAAATCAAAACTATCAGTAACTATAATTTTAAATTAATTGGATGAGAATTTTAAAACAATGACAAATTAAATTATTAAATTTTAAATAATAAAAATAATTAACAAAAAACACTAAAATAAAATATGACCAAATCACAATATAATTAAAGTTTGAAATTAAAAAAGAAAGAGAGAATTTAAAAAAAAATGATAAATTAAGGTAGTAAATTTTAAATAATAAAAATAATTAACAAAAAACACTAAAACAAAATGAAATCAAATCACAATACAATTAAAATTTGAAATTGAAACAAAGTATAGAAAAATTGAGGACCAAAATGTTACAAAAATATCATAAATAGTGAAAGGAATAATGATTTGTGAGTGTGTGAATAGTGATTTGTGAGTATGTGAATAGTATTTCAAATAGTGAATGAATAGTAAAATCATGTTTTACTTTAGTTTTATTGATAATTTTGTAACTTTTTTTATTTTGGTCATTAAAATTTTATTATATATTATTTTTATCCCTATAATAAATATTAAAATTTTATTGTATTTGATTTTTTCCTTCTAATAAATATTTTTTCTTGGCTTTTAGTAAAACATTATGTTCTTTTTTTGTTCCTATTTTATGATATATATTTTATTTTGGTTATTAAAGTTTTATCATGTTTGATTTTTATCTTACTCGTACTAAAACTAAATGAAGTTTCACTATCCTAATTGCTTCTTTTTTTTTCCTTTTAGTGAAACTTTTCTTTTTACTATAATTCATATTTTGTGATTTTTTTTATTTGTTTTGGCCATTAAATTTAGTAGATTTTTATTTTTATTTTAGTTCCTGTTTTATAATTTTTTTTATTTTGATCATTAAATTTTTATTATCTTTGATTTTTTTCCCTACAAGGAACTATTTTTTACTTTTAGTAAAACTTTTTTCTATGTTTTGGTTTTTATTTTGTGATCTTTCTTTTATTTTGATCATTCAAGTTTTATTATATTTGATTATTATTCTTTCGACACTAAAATTAAATACAGCTTTCACTATTCTAAGTTTTTTTTTTTTTGGCTTTTAGTAAAAAATATTTTTTGTTTTGGTTCTTATTTTGTAATTTTTTTTATCATTAAAATTCTATCATGTTTTTCTTTTGTTCATGTCTTGTGCATAATGAATTTTTTTAGTCGTATTGTTTATAATTGTTTTTCTTCTAGTGAAAGTTTTTTATTTATTTTGATCATTCTTTTATGATCTTTACTTTATTTTAATCATTTAATTTTTATCATGTGTAATTTTATCTCAATATTTTGCCAAATTCTCAATTTGAATAAGTTTTTTTTATCTTTTTGTTTTGAGTGATCTCTTTATCTCATTAACAAATCACGGATAAAGAATATATGGTAAAAAATAATCATCTAAAATTCAAAAAACTAGCACATCATTATTTTAATTACTATTTATTATAGATATTTCTAATAAAATACATGTTTATATGAAACAATATCTAATTAACAACTTTATATTACTCAACTTTCCGGACATCGTTTAGCTAATCCTATAGTAAAATATGAAATATATGTTTTGATTATTTAAAAAAAAATTTCATGATCATTTTAAATAATTATTTTTAAATTTTGTATTTTATATGAATGAATACGGAAGAATGTTGTATAGCTCACCTCACGACAACTCGCAGGATATATGCTAGTAAATAATCTAAAGCATAATAGAATTTTACCGTAGTTAAGTCTAATAAAATCAAAATGGCATGGCTTTGAACTTTTTTTAACTTGAAACAATGTTGTTTTCCCAAAATAGTATAATAATAACAATAATAATAATCAATAAATGATTTTTTTTAATTTTTCCCTTTTTTACAGCTTTGGTCCTTGGAGTTCTTATCTAGTACAAAACAATGTTTAAATTTTAATTATTATTACAAAACTATCCTTTTATTTTTTAACCCAAACGTGTGGACTCGGTTGTCTCCGAGCCCATATGGAAGGGCTTGGTGTGAGCTCAGCCTAGTCCAGACCTCTTTTTTTTTTTTTTTCTTTTTCCTTCTTTTATGCTTGTATTTTTTTCATTATTTATCATTTACTTATTAATTAAATTTTTTTCTCCATAATTAATGGTTGTTATCATCATCATCATCATCATTATTTGCATAGACTCATTAACTAAAATTAAACATTCTTCTAATATGAATTAATTTAGCACCTTCTTCTAATTTGATTTTTTTTAAATAGATAATTTAATTATTTTTTTGGTTGATCAAAATAAAAAATACTCCTAGGATATATTTAAACTCAATTATAGAATATATACATTTTATAACATATTGCATAATATATATTAAATTAAACAAAATTTCATAATTAATGTTAATTAAATTTTGTTTTACATTTAAATTTTTAAATTATTTAATATATTAAAACATATTAGAGAATAATATAAATCGTATCCCGAGACCTCACCTAATAACTTAAGTTT